TTTTTTCTTTTATCGGACTCTTACGTAGTTCATTCCTCACCCTCACAAACTAAGCCACAGCAATCCACGAAAGGCCACATTACGTATACTAGTGACAAGTTAATTCATGGGAAAGAACCCACAGACATAGAAAAATACAAATTGGAATTTAGCATTTAGGTTTTGCAGAGGGAGAAAAAACCGAAGCCAAAAGGGAGAACCAACTCAAAAAAAACTCTACTCAAAATACTCTACCGCAAATGTTACTCCGGCAAATGTTACTCCGGCAAATGTGATGCCGAGTCCACCGAATTTGTAGGAAACTTACGGTATTTCTTCGTCTATCGCTTCAATACTAGTCTCACACTCCGAAACCTGAGTCATGTGCAATGCAAGAAACAACACGGCTGAAACAGCATACAGTCTCTTTGCCTCGATAGACATCTGTGAAAATCAATACAAATAAATATATTGATAAAAATATGTAATGAAAAGTGAAAATGAGGGTTTGAATTTATACGTTTATATAGTCGTATATATCAAACTCAGTTGAATTTAGCTGCTCAATTTGAAAGGAAATAACTGTATTGGTTTTACTAGCCATTTCCGTACCCGTTGTTTGAAAATCTGCTTTTAGTTCTTTTTAATGAATTTATTCTTAGTTGTTACGATACCGAATCAAAATATGGCGACCAATTTGAATAACTATTGTTCTGCACTGACTAGCGACTGACTAGCCCCGTGTGCACTAGGAATTATAAAGGCGTTTTCACATTTAGGATGGGCTAGTCGGTCGCTATTCAGTGCAGAACAAAAGTTATTCAAATTGGTCGCCATATTTTGATTCGGTGTATATAGAAAACTACTTCCATTTCGACAACATTTGGCCATGGGGATCTTTTAGTATCATTCATCAATTATATCCATCGATGTTTAGCGCTTAATAATATCATTTACAAATGCTGCAATATCGGTGTATATAACCAAGTACAAGTGAACAAAAAATTACTTTGTTTACAGTACACCAACATGGCAGCCATTTTGAGAAAGCGAAAACTTAATACAAATTACTTCAAAGATTGAATGAAAATGTGGTAACTGTTACGATAATTAATAGGAAATAATTTACCTCTGATAGGTAAGAGTTGGTGTGTTTAGTTTTCTTGCTCTGCCTCGTGTTAAATCAAAATAAAACAAGTAAAAATGAAATAATTTTTGCGTGAATCCAGTAACTCATTAAATTTTACACTGTTACCGACTACATCGAAATTCCAGCCAATTAGAATATAGTGTCACACGCATGCGCAAAAAGTACTTCACTGCGGCAAATTATGTGTCGAATTTCTTCATCAATACCGCTTACCGCTGATTAATTCATTCTACACATGCAAAACAGCAGTCTTCTCATTGGCTAAATCGTTTTCGAAATTTGTTATAACAACAATTACGTACAGGTCCGTATAGATTTTAGATCTTTTAAGTATTTTAACTGTTCTGTTCAACAACCAAAATGGCGGCCATGTCTTTCGT